AAAATTAAAATAAGTTATCTTCTCAGCAGAAAATATTTTTTCTTGCTTTTAGTTTTTTTGCTTTACATATTTCATATAATTTATCCAGTATATTTATATTTTAAATGCACAGTTATATATAGTTTATGTTGATTTTTATTGCTTAACTTGATTTTATTGTTATTATTATCATATTTGATATTGTAAAGGGCTTCAAAGTCCTGCCGATTACATTTGTAATAAAGCTATTCTGTAATTTCAATTTCTTTTATTGAAGGCAAATAAATTTACAATATATATATATACATATATATATATATATATATATATATATATATATATATATATATATATATATATATATATATATATATATATATATATATATATATATATATATATATATATATATATAAATCAATCTGTATTTTGAAGTATCATATTTTTGTTAAATATATTTATGATTTATTCAAATTTTTATTTATAACTTTATTATAAAAAATATAATGTAGAATTACTTTTTTATTATTAAAAAATAGTTACTCAAAATTTGCATTTTTGATTAATATAAAAATTTAAAACAATAAAACAATTTTTAAGGTTAAACATCGTTAATATCTTTAAATATCATTTAGTATTTGCACGGCAAAGTTTTTATTTTTTACATAGCATAGCGGTTCGATAAATGCTAAAAGTTACAAAAATGACCTTTACACGGGGATAACTTATTAACTTTTAGGCATAGCAACCCTAGGGAGTTAGCTTCAATCATAATGATTTTTATTTATTTTTTATTATTATTACTTTTTTATTTTTAAATAGCTTAAGTAAGAAATTTAACAAGAATTTTTTTTTCAACAAATAAAAATATGTTTGTGTCTGTTAATTTAAGTAAATACTGTTTAATTATATTTTAAAAACATTTTATTGAGGTTATATTTTTTAATATTATCATCTAGAGCTATGTTCCATAGACGAGGTCCTCTATATGAAGTTGAGTAATCGAATTTTTTAAGAGTTTACTTAAGTAAGTTATGGAGCACTTCCGCCTATTTATGATTAATTTTTAAAAATCGTTAATTAAAGGATTTGGAAGTATGTTATTTTGATATTTAAACATGAAGTTTTGGAACCAATTTAACTCATAGATATTAAAAGCTTTTATTTCCTTCAACCATTGGGAGTTATATTCAATCATAATGATTAATAACAAGACCTTGTTCTACAACTTTCAAAGTTTATACAAGTTTAGAACAAGATCTTGCTATTTTTTTTTTTATTTTTTTTTTATTTAGGTACCCCAAGAGGTCCTTACGGTCTTATCACAGAGCACCGCGGATGAGCATTTAATAAGAACTTATGCCTCCTTCCTTACCGATGTCACAAAACTTACCCAGAGGTTGAGTTTAAACCACGGATTTTTTGTTTCTGAGGCAAGTGCGCTATCTCTGCCCGCGGCTATTAACTATTATGATTGAATTATAGGGTTACATCCAATTAAAGTATTATTATTTTTTTAATATGATTTTTTTTTATTTTACATTATATTTTTAGTATTAATATTTTAAAGCATTTTTCCTTGGAAGTTTTAAATACATCATGTTTATAACATGCTTCTTAAGCATCAAACCATACAGGTTATGGGAAACAGTTAACGGTCCAATGTGAAAAATATATTATATATATATAGAAAGAAAAATATATATATATATATATATATATTCTATATATATATATATATATATATATATATATATATATATATATATATATATATATATATATATATATATATATATATATATATATATATATATATATATATTCTCTATAGTTGATTAAGGAAAATCTTGATTGTCAATGGAAGGACGAAAAACCGACTAATAAAAATATGTTATTCAAGATTCTTCTTTTTGTTACAAAATATCTTTTTTTTTTAGTTAAAATAATAAGTACATCATGTAAAAAACATAAAATTTGAATTTTTTAATCTTTATATATATATATATATATATATATATATATATATATATATATATATATATATATATATATATATATATAGAATTTAAATCTGGGTTTTGACAAAACAAGTCCAAAACTCAAACTTTTTTTGTGTTGAAAAAAAATTACTGTATAGTTGGACGCTGCTTCGGATCATTGTCTTCCTACAATATCCAGCCACAAGACATTTTGTTTTTTTCATGTGGCAACATGACATTTTTAATAACACCTAAATATACATTCTGACCATAACTTTTAAATGCGATCAGGTGGACCAATAGAATTACGACTGAATGATTCCCAAACTATTACATTGCCATATAATATGTTTGACTGTGATATTTGATACTTAGGAGCAAGTCTCTCATTATTTAAACGTTTCACTTATTGTAACAACGTTTCTTCATGAAGTAAGACTTTTAGTCATGTTTACTAAGTCCAATGCAATCTATCAAATTTCTTTCAAGCAAAACAATTCTTTGATGATCATAACAGAGATATAGTCAAGACAGTAAAGGTCAAGACCAAGACTAAGACCACGACAAAGAAATCAAAAAGTCAACCCAAAACCATGACCAAGACTTTGAAATTTTTTTACAAAACCAAGAGCAAGACTTAGATTCTTAGAAATTTGACACAACAAGACTCGTGATCACTCATGTATGTAACTATTAGGCTATTAGATGATCTATCATTACACATTGTTCTATAATAAAACATAATTACGCATGCATAATATAACTATGTTATTTCAAATTGTTCAGTGCACTGTTACAGTTTATTAAGTATAAAATTTAACAGAAAACTAAAAGGAAAACTTCTATAGCTAAAATGTACCGATAAAAAAAGGCGTAAGATCATCACACTGTGAAATTAATATTAGCACAAAACCTTAACTTTGACAAAAGCAAATATGCTATGCTTTTTTTAAAATACACCTTTTCAAGATGTAATTAAGAACTTGAAAGTTGTAATTAAGAAAAGTATGATGTAATTGAGAAAGTGAAAGTTGTAATTCAGAAACGTTACATGTAATTGAGAAGATGATTGTTGTAATTTAGAAAAGTAAGATGTAATTGAGAAAATAAAAGTTGTAAATAAGAAATCGTAAAATGTAATTGAGAACATGATAGTTGTAATTAAGGAAAGTATAAAGAATACAAAGTTCTTTGTGTTTTCAATTTTGTAGTCCTAATATACTTTGTAATTTAAGGCTGGATATAATAATATAATATCAATAAAATATAAAAAGTCATGAAAGAGGGTTTAGATTTGAGGTTTAGACGGTGACAGGAAAAATCCTATTGGGTGTCAATAGAAACTTTCTTTTATTTTTATTTGTGAAAAATTTTATTGAGATTTCAGAGGAAGCTAAAATTTTGAATTTTGAGAATTTATTAGTCTCGAAAGTTTTTTAAAATCTTCAAACATTTATTATAAACTTATTCTTTTTGTTGTTGTTATTATATTATTTATTTTCAAATGCATAGCAATCCTTAAACCATTTTTTTTTTTTGAAATGGTTTAAGGATTTCGGAAATAAACATGCTTTTGAAATCTCTAAAGCATGTTTACTTCCGAAACTGTCGATAAATATATTTTGTTTAGATTTTTCCTAGTCTCCAATCACTGCGACTTTAAAAATTTGATCTTGCTTTGTCTAAAAGTTGGATCATAGTCATGTGTTTTTTTATGATTATGGTTTGATTTTACTCTATGAAAGATTTTATTAGTGCGGCCGTGGCGCTTGCTTTGTAAGTAGGAGATCCAGGTTCGAAAGGAGCTTTGGACATATTTTGCGTCACGGTCAATAGGAAGGCGTGAACTTCCTGGTTAAATGCACTTTCGCGGTGCTCTGTGACAAGACCGTAAGGACTACTTTGGGCACCTAAATAAAAAATTAAAAAAGATTTTAAATTCTAAAAAATGCTCTTACATCTAAATTTATTGAATAAAATACAACAATTTTATCGTTTATTTTGAGAATTAAAAAAAAAAGACTCAAAAATAAGCAAAGCGGTTAACTATTAAGGTCTTTAAGGCGAGACTAACAAAAAAAAAGTTTAATCAATTTTTTTCTAGATTATATCTACATTTTTGATTAAAATATTTTTTCCTAATAATAGTTTACATTTTCGTTTGGTTAAAAATATACGCGGCGCGACGTAACTTTTTATAACTTAACAGATATAATTTTAAAGTGTTATTTAGATTCCTAACCAAGTGTTAACTTTTTATAAGGAATATTTATGAGATTTGTAAACGTTTACAAATCTCATAAATATTTTGCGCCAAGAATCTTTTTTTTTGAGATTAAATCTTATTGACAAATTGCTAAAAATCTTTAATTCGTCACTGCTTAAAATATTGATTAGAATAACTTCTTAATATAAGAAAATAGTTTTAAAAAGCTAAATAACTTATCCTAAATACGCAAATAACTTTTTCTTTGCAATGGTTTTGTCCCTTATTAAAATCAATTTGCTTTCCAAAACATTTTTGAAAAAGATGAACATCTCGTTGCTTAAAAAGTTGAGAGTCAGTGCAATCGCGTTAAAACGACAAATGATACATAGCTTTATGACGCATGGCGGATATCGAAAGGAATAATAGATATATTAAGTTGGTTGTAATGAGTCACAGAATTGCTTGCTTATTATGATTCGTATATTTTTACTTATCATATTAAAAAAAGAACTGCTCAACAATTTTGAGGGAAAAACTTCTGACAAAACACATTAGACAATATTAACCATTCAAACTATAATATATATATATATATGTATATATATATATATATATATATATACATATATATATATATATATATATATATATATATATATATATATATATATATATATATATATATATATATATATATTCATTATTGACTATTGACAGTGAAAAAAGCATTATAAAAGATTAGTATTGTATTATCCTAATAATAGTGTGGCAACACTATCCATCCTAACAGGTATACAAGTATAAAAAATTTTGAAAGAAAAATTTCATTATTTATTAAGATGTTATTTATTATGTTATTATGGTTTCAAAAAAATATTGAAACCGCAGTACTTAAAAATCATAACCAAATTACAAATACAAAATTGTGAAAACTTATGATAATAATATTTACATACTTTAGTTTAATATAAAATACAAAAAAGAAAAATTATTAATAAAATGAAATGCTAAACTTCCCACAAAAACTAATATCCCACAAAGTATATAAATAGTAACAATAAAAAAATGTGTTAACTTTTTATATGTGAAAATATACACTTGATTCGAAAAGAAAAAACAAAATAAGAAAACTTTGAAAACAGATTTATAATATTTTATAAAGATAAAATATATAAACAGAAATTTAAAAAAAGTTGGAATTCTATCACAACTCTAATCTCTCAAAAAGTTTCAATAAATACAAATTAAAGGGTAAGTGATAAAAAAGATCACCACTCCTAATAATATAACAAACGCTCCAACACATTACTGTTTTTGAGGTTTAAACCTCAGTAGCTGACGACCAAGCATGTGACTTAAAAAGATTCCAATAAATAGAGGAAGAGTAAAGCCAATTGCAAGACCAGCTGTCAAAAGTAAATGAGACTTGAAAAACTGAAACCCAGCATCTAAACACCCAATTTGATAAATTTCATTAGACAACTTTAAATGAACACGCTCGTTTCTGACTCCATAGCCACACTGACGATTGTTTTGAAACTTGCGAAGACAACATGACCAGGGAACACCACAAGAGCGATAACTCTCAAGGTTTTCACAGCTAAAGTAAGGATTGCTGTCCCAATCATCAATTGTTAAACTTCCACAACAACCTATTTCTCTTTGAAATTTATCAATCATATTGCGTAAATCAGAATTAACAGTGTATTTCTTAATAGCATGCTGTAAATTGTAGTCAACCATTTTTTTAACTTCAGGCCAAAAAGCAAATGCAATAATACCGCAAAATACTTCAAAACAGAATATTACCATCAAAAATATTTTGTAAGTCTTTAATAAACAAAGATTTTCACGAAGAGAACCAAGAACGCCAAATGTCGATACAAAAAAAATAAAACAACCCAATACTGCTAGTATAACACCAGGATCTGTGGCAAAGTCAGATAACTCCTCATAGCCTTGCTTTTGAGAGATTGAATAACCACCGACTGCCATAAAAAGACCACCAACTAACCAAAAAAACATAGAAAATACAAGGAGAGTATACTTGATCTTCTTAGACACTCTGAATTGGCCACCAATTAACTCTTCTCGATCATAAGCCATATTTATTATTTTCTAAATAAAAATATTTGATTAAAGAAAAATATTTGATATTATAGATATTATATTTGATAAATTTGATATTATAGATATTATATTTGATAAATTGATAAATATTTGATATTAAAGAAAAATATTTGATTAAAGAAAAACAAAATAATTTCCGAATTATTGGAAAAACTCAAATGATTATAAACTTAAGGGTAGAAAACAATAAAAATATGTACATAAACTTTAATTTTGGACGAACATGATTTTCAATAGCTCCCCCCTCCCCTAACCCTTAGTAAGTTTGTGAAAAATTTGAAATGCAAAACAAACATTGTTAAAAACCAAATCCTAAACTTGCCAAGGTTAGGATTTGGTTGAGTCTAACCCTGAGGGTCAAGGTCTTTGACCCTCAGGGTTAGGCTCAGGGTTTGGCTAGGTTATGAGTTGCAATAAAATAAACTTTATTGTTGGGTTTCGGGTCTTTCCGTAAAACATGACTCGTTTTTCACAGACTTACTAAAAGAGGATGCCTGAAATGTGTCTGCCAAACTTTGTATTAAAATATATATATATATATATATATATATATATATATATATATATATATATATATATATTATATATTATAACAATTTTTGTGATTTAATATATTTATATAAGGGGTATGTACATTATACATTTATAAACAAAAATAGAAAAATTATATTTATCTTATGATAAAAATTTATGATAAAAAATGCAAAAATGCTACTTAATTATGAATACATTTTTTACATTTGTATATGTATTTCAAAGTTTTGATTATAAAGGTAGTCTATTAAAGATAGTAAAGAGTTAGAATTAATCTAGAAACATAATAATTTAAAAATATAACATAAAAATACCATATCTTTATTCTTAAAATAAATATTTTATTTTTACAAATGATTCAAGAATTTAGATTTTAAACAAATTTTCTTCGAGTATAAAAATATTATATTATTCACCTTTTTTAAATGATACTTCTAGAAACAAAATAATTTTTAATTTATTTTTGTATCATGTTTTATTTTATTATACAAGGGCGGTAACATTGAACAGCGACTTTCAACTTACACATATTTGAACCATTTACTTTTATCGACATCGTTTAAATTAATTCCCAGATCACGTTCACTTCCAGTACGTAATAAAATATTTTTATGCTACGAAAAGTGACACTCTTCTCCGCTATTAATAAGCTCTCTGCCTTTATAAAAGACTTAAAAAAGAATATTTTAGGATATTATTTTTTTATTTATGAAAGGACGGCTCTAAGTTTCTTTTGGCGTTTAAAACAATTTCGCTTTACGAGAAACTTTTTTTGGAAACGGGAAACAAAAAACCATAATTATACAATAAAATACTAGTCTAAAAACGAATTACTAATAAATTTAAGTAATGCAAACTCTCTGAAAACAAAGTTAAATAATATAACTATTAAATTAAATTAGATTATTTAAAATCAATTAAAAAAACTTTAATTCCTTGAACTTCGATAAATAAAAGTCACAATTATACTCTTTTTATTAGTGCTTCCAATACCGATACCCTTTTTTGAATACCGGTATTTCGGTACTGAATAATTTCAATACCGGTAATACCGGTATTGAACTTTTTTTTTTAATTTATCATAAAATGAATAAAATCTCAAGTTAATACAAAAAATTTCATTGATTCAAAAAGATTATTTATTTTATATCAAAAATACTGACTTTTCGCTTTTTTCTCCTTTGTAAAATGAGCCCGTAAAAATGGCGTTCAGAGTATCATCCTCAAGAGATGATCTAATTTTGTGACCATGTTACCACTTGCTAAAAACCCACGCTCCAATTCGAAACTTTTTGGCTTCACAGTTTTTAAGTAATGGTAGGAATTTTGCAAATATATACCACAATTTCCTCCTTTTTTGAAAACTGCCATCTCGATACATATGATTTTTGATGAATTATTCGAAAAACTTAATCTTCCCTTGTTGTTGCATTTCTTATTTTTCAAAATTGCAAAGTGAAGCTTTTCTTTCAATGATAAATTTACAGCGTTATTAACAGAATCACTATGAGAAGAAACGCTGGTGGAAGGGAGAGGACTATACGCTTTCTGATTGAGCCGATCTTTCAGTTGAGCAATGGTATTTACAATGGCTAATTTGCTAAGTCTTTATCATTATTGGTTTTGTTTGTGTCATCGTCAGTATTTCTATCCTCGTCACTTTCACTGCTATTGTTGTAATTGCAGATTACTTTCAAGTTTTTTTTGTAGAAGTTGACGGTTTTTTTGTGCAAAATCTCTTGAATACCTAGTACACTGATACTTCCTTCATTTAATTTTATCTCTTTGTTGCACTTTTTAGACTTTGCAAGTTGATTTTCTTGTCACGCAGAAAATAAAACAACGCAGATCTTTTGTCAACTGGTACGCCGTTGCTGAACTCTTTGAATACTTTTTGGGACATTTTATATTTTTCTGGATATTAATGTAATTCCATCTATTAGACATAAAATATTGATTTTTAGTTTTTAATTCAAAATCCACAAATTTTTTTTAGTAAGCGTAACTATAATTACACGTCTTTTGTCATCTAGCTATTTTTTTCCTACCGGGAAAAAGATAGCTGGATAATAAAAAACGTGTCCAGTTGTGTTGTTTTATCGCGACTGGAAGTTTTAAGTATTTTATTTACTTTCGTGTTTCACGTAAAGAGGGCGATAACACCTGCTATATCATTAACCCTCTACATATATTTTTAATACCGGTGTTGAGCTAAACCAATACCGGTATTTCGGTACGAGAAAATATCCGGTAATACCGGTATTGGAAGCACTACTTTTTATCCTATTTTTATACCTTGATTTATTAATTTTTTTTAGATTTTTGTCGTTTCAGGTCATATTGGTCACAAAATTTTTTTTTTCCAGGTAAAGTTAAATATTTGTATTTTAATAACACTTATCTTTTTAGCCTATTAGTCTATCAGTGTACATATTTATATAGATCTATTAACAAAAATCTAACGAATTATTCTTTTTTTTTACGTATGATGCATCAGAGGATTAGCTCTGATGCATCAACGGTATTTCCCTTGGATCTTTAGAACTAAATGCAACTCGTTTCTAGTCTAACATATAAAAACTCATATAGACCAAAGTAAAAGTAGCCCTTCCTACCTATCAGCTAACATTTGCGAAGAGTTCATCTAGCTAGATTGGTAAGGAAGGAGGCGTGAATGTTTCTGGTTAAATCTCTGCGGTGCTCTGTGATAAGACCAATATGTCTTCTTGGAACACTTTAATAACTTAAAGAATTTATTATTTTAAATTAATGTCATCACGGAACAACTTTTTTCTAAACTTAAAAGCTTTCAACTTTTTCAAGTCGATTTGTGATGACATATTTGGGAAATATGCCATCACGGATATATCTGAATATTAATAAAGAATATCCGGAAAATTGACGAAAAAACAAAAACGAAAGAAAAGTAAAGCATTGGCTTGCCTTCGTCTTTAAAAAACAAATTTTTTTGAAACAAATAAAACACTTATTTGAATCACTCACAAAATGCACAAAATTTATCAGGGAAATGGATAAGACGGTAATAATGTAAAATTTTAAAACTGCAACTTAAAGAGTCTTAAGAAATAGAGTTAAAAAAAATTTAAGAGTCTTAAGTATAAGTGCATTTTTTAAAAAAAAATACTTATTTTAAAATTCAAAACAGTATTTGACCATCAGTACCAGGCCATTTTTTTACTTGGGCTGGATGATGATGATGGTTTTACACATTACACATATATTTTATACATAACTAAAATTAGAATCGAGCAGCCGCAGCGCAGTGGTTAGGGCTTTTGCTTCAAAAGCTAAAGATACCTCTGGGCAAGTTTTATAACATCGGTAAGGAAGGGGGCGTGAACTTCCTTTTAAATGTTCTTCCGCGGTGCTCTGTGATAAGACTGTAAGGACTTCTTTAGGCACCTAAAATTAAAAAAAAATTTAAGCAATTTTTAGTATATAACTTTAGTGATTGTCATTCAAATATATTGACAATTTTCGCTATATGTAAGGAATAAGAGACAATAAAGATAAAAGAACAAATATAAGGGATTACGTAATATAAATTACGTAACGCAAACTTTCACAATAAACAAAACAAACAAAAATCAAAAGTTTACTCTCGTAGTCTCAATTTACATAAAAAATCAAAATAGCCCATAGGGTAATAAAAACGTCCGCGTAAAAAAGCCAAATATCTCATTCTGTTTTTAAAATATATTTTGCGTTGCGTAATTTATAGACGATCCCTAAGATACATAATTTGATGCTCATTTAGAAGAAATTATTCATCTAGCTAAAAAATTTTACTTTTTATTACAAACCTGAACTTTATCATATTATAAATATAAAGTCTTCTATAGCCAGTGGTATGCTATTATGGTAGATTCAGGAAACTTGTTATTTATTTTTGGCGATTTTTAAATATTTTATGGAGAATATTCTTTAAGAACTTCTTTAAATTAAAAAAAAAAAAAAAAAAACTTAAAGAAACCCAAGTTGGGTTTTTAACGTGTACAGTCGTACCCACTCTTCTGTTTGACGGGTACTAAATTTTCTCGATTTTTTATAATCCTAGTCTTAAACGCAAATAAATTCTGCGATAATATATTCCGCAAAAACTCTTACTGTAAAATCTTTCCTAAAAGTATGTTATTTTATGTAAAAACAAAAATCCCTGTGCACGCATATCAAACATCTATATTTGAACGTCCTGTGCACGCATATCAAACATCTATATTTGAACGTCAATGACACTGAAGCTGTTTCCAGAATCATTGATATCTTAAATTTAATGATTACTAAAAAAAGACTACAATTTTATATATGCACAACAATAACTTCGTACAGAACATTTATGGTATCATATTGATCAATTTTAATCTAAAACATTATTACAGCGAGAAAAAAGATTTATATTAACAAATTATAACGTAAAACAAATATTTTCTAAACACAAATACAATATAAAGCAGTTTTACTTTAATCACAAAAAATGGCTTTTTTCAAATTGAAAATGAACACTACCAGAAATAAGCTTACAGCCCTCATAAATCGGCAACAATGCTATAATAATAACTAATGTAATAACAAAATGACTCAAACTCTGTCCTATGTCTAACCAACTGCCTTCATCTCGGACAAAAAAAAAGAAGTTTAATGCCATTAAATCTGTTAAGACCAAAATACAAAGAAATAGCCCACGCATGGGCAAAACTATTACTTTAAAAAGTGAACAGCAGAAAACAACAACTATGACCGTAGGTATGAGACACTTGATGATTACAACTAGACCTAAAATCCATGGGTTAAACACAGTTTTAAAGCAAAGAGCAGTTGCGATATCATACGAATTTATACTTGCTATATTGCCAGTTCCAAAGAATGACAAAAAAATAAAATATAAAAACATAAACGTAATGCGTAAATGCTCTAGTGTTAAAAATTGGTCCTCCCTTTTAATCTCGGACAGCCACGAAAATTCTACAAAAATCCACAAAGAAAGTTGGAAAACTAAAGCTAAAAAAAATAAAGCTTCATATGAAATTGATGTCAAAATATAAATAGAGAACAAAGATAAACTAACTGAAACTAACCTCGTTGGTGAATGCTTTTCAGTAAGAATTGAAATTACAGGTATTATGATCAAAACAAGCCAGGAAAAAACTTGATTTAGTAATGGTAACCCATTACCTTGTTGTATGTTAATAATGGTATGCATTTTAACAACTGTACATAAAATCAAAATTGCTGTCACTGTTGAAATAACCCAACCATTTCGATTTTTAATTATAGAACTAAAACTAAGTCCAGCTGTTGCAGCAATAAAAGCTGCAATAATTACAAGCAAATAGTTCTCTTTTCTGTCAATGACCGGAAACGACGGAAATATAGCAATTATTAAACAAGCTAAAGTCCATGATGTATAGATACCTAAAGTCATATATGATTTAAAATTCTTTCTAACCGGGAATTTTAACCAGGGCATTAGGCTCAAAAATAAACTAACGTAGGAAAGAGCAGACCTATAAAAAAAAGCAATAACAATAATCTCAACTCCAAGTAAAATTGAGAGGATTTGAAGAATAGTACTGATGGTATTTAAAGAAGATTGCGACCATAGCTTATTGCATAAAAGAACAATCCTGTAGAATATCTTACCTTGATTAAGACACAATTTCAACATTATTGCTGGAAATAACAAGTAAAAATATTCCCCAGATTTTGTAATAAACAGAAAGGAAATACAAAAAGTTACAAGCATGTAAAAAACTGTAAACAATCGTGACTGAAAAAACAATACAACAGTAGGTGTATAGTAGGAACGTGGTAATACATTGGTATATTCATATAGAATCTTAGCCACAACATAAGAAATCCATAATAAAAATCCACAATTAACTAAAAAACTTAAAAGCACACGATTGTATTTGTGATAATACTGTATTCCTTTCAATGCAACAGCAACTGCTTGTTTAGACTTTTCTATTGAAGAAACATATTCACCAGTTGAAAGCAGGCTAGATGCTTCCATTAATTTATACGTAACTAAAGCAAAAAAAGAAAAAAAAAAAATCAGTACTTATCTAAAAACAAAGGCATAAAATTTAAAACTCCTCATTATGGGTTGTTTAGAAACTTTAAGTGGTCAAAGATTAAATTAGATTAAATTCTAAACCTGTTAATAAATATAAATTTAATTTAAGCTCAAACCACTCCAATTTTATTTGCAAAAAATCCCAATTTCAAAAATTTATGAACGTGCAGATTTCTTCTTTTTGAAAGTTATGAAACCTTTGACACTAAAAAAGTTACTATGGCAACAAAATGTACCACAGCAACTTTTGCTGTGGCACCGGTATATTCATACATTTTATAGAAAAAAATTAAAAAAAAAACAACAAAAAAAACCCCCCCGGATATTTCATTTTCAGTCATGAAAAGTGTAGCAATAAAATCGAAATTTAAATACTCAATATGTGATATGAAATACCCTTTATAAGTTATATTAAATGTTTATATTAAAATATTTTTTCAAAACACTGGCTCACAAATTCTTCTTTTAACCTATGATTCATTTTAATGACATTATTGTTATTTTATGAAACTTAGCAGCTTTTGGCACTCAAATACTATAAATTATGATATATTCAAATGAAATAATAACTTTTTAACAAAATATTTTTTTTAATACACAGAAAGAGGGGAGGAGGTATCATCTTCGGCAAAGTATCTTTAACTTTTTGATGTTGTCACTAAGCCACTAAGCTTGTCATGACTGATAAAATTGTCGTAAAAAAATGATTTAATTCTCATCCTAGATTTCTCTGCACTTTTTTTGAGGTTTTCAAATATAATATTTCATAATAAAATGTTAATATTTTCAAATAAAATATTTTATTATATAATCCAAATGTAAATAATCCAAATTGTCAGCTGATGTTTTCTTGCCATCAATTATTATTGGAAAAAAAATTGTTTTAACTATTGATGACAAAGTTATATAGTCCACTTTTTAAAAAAATCAGTTTTTACTTATGAGAACTTTTTTAATATGTCCCCCATAACTTCTTAGGGCTTACAGTGTCTGGAAAAATCTAAACTCAGTTAAATTCAAATAAAAACCGCTGGCATACTATAAATTACTTTTAGTACATGCTTGACTAGAATACCTTTAATTTGTTCTGAACACTTGTCAAACTTTAATTATTCTACTCTCTTCTTAACTTTATCTTTACGCCACTTGGGTTTGACAGCTCAATTTTTGGCCCTTTTAGACCAATATTTGCATTGTCTTATTTTATGTCATTTTATTATGGTTGCTGTTTAAAAGACCAATTTTCTCTTGTACCTAATATTAAAATTCCTACCCATGTAATTTGCTGTTTAAATTAGTTTCATCACTTCATTTAACTTTTTTTTTTCAAATAACTTTTTATCCATATTTCACTTTCTAAACTTTAAAATCATTTCTATTTACCTTTTAAATTAAGTTTTTAAATTTCCACCTAACTGTAATCTAGTTAAATGACTGTGATCTTTATTTTTTTTTTAATATTTTTTTAGTAATTCAATGCTTTTAATCTTGTTAAGTGTGAATTCACAATTTAAAAAAAAACATGTTACTAATTAACATCCTCTAAGCAGATTTAAAAATAAACTAATAAACAGATTAATTTAACCATTAATAAAAAATACTTACGCTCTTGGTCATTATAAAATTTGGTAAAATAGAGTACACTTTCTAGAATCTTTTTTTCGTGTGCGTGATACTGCTCAACTATTTGTTTGACATTATCAAGCATAGCAAGAGCTTTTTGATGCATTGATATATCTAGTATTTCATCTGGAATAACACCAACAGAATTAATTGGAAAATTAACACCTAAAGATATATTACATGTATCATACTAAGATCTATATGAACACATACATATGTTATATGTATGTAAGTATATATCATATAATGCAAACTTAGTTGCAAATAAAACATCACTGATGATGGCAGATTAAAACAGCCATAGGTGGGGGTTGGACTTAAGGTTTAGACAGGCAGTATTCTGCATATGAATGAAATCTAGAATTATGGCAAAAAAATTATACTTTTTTCATTACTAATCAGAGAACTTTGATCCACAGCAAAATTTGCATATGTTAATATACATACATACATTTATACATATATATATATATATATATATATATATATATATATATATATATATATATATATATATATATATATATATATATACATATATATATATAGAAAAAACACAATAAACAAACAGTTCTATTTGTGTTAATAAGTAAAAAACACAGAATCTTTTTGCTCAACACTGTGTTTACAAGTTAAAAGTTCAAAAAGTTCAGAGATCAGGAGGTAATCCACTGATATTTAGGGTGGTAGCCCTCCTATCAAAGATCAACTCATCATTGTTCAAAAGTTCAGAGATCAGGAGGTAATTCACTGGTATTTAGGGTGGCAGCCCTCCTATCAAAGACCAACTCATCATTGTTAGAGATAAATACAAAGAAAAACTAAATAGAAATGGATTTTTTAAAGCAGGAAAATTGTCCAAGTTTAGAACCAGGAAATCATACGGGCTCTAAAGTCTTACATGATTGGTGTGGTAAAATTTCGAAGGTTTTGTTATTTCTTAATACCAAAATACAGACAAATGAATTAGAGTATTTGAGACATCTTGAGACAGAGTTAAAAAAAATAAAGCATTTGAGAAAAAAATATTTAAAATGGAAAATGACTGACTGCAGAAAGGGTTAGAAACGCGTATTGTGGTACTAGAGGATGAAAAAGACTCTCGAGAATCATTGCCAAAACAATCATACTCAGATGCTATAACAAGTAAAAATTGGTCTACCTCTTCTTCTAAAACGAAATCCCCAGTTGAACAATTAATTGTTGTAAATGCAGCTATTAATGAGCAAAAAAATAGAGAAAAAAGAAGAAAAAATATTATTGTCTATGGCCTTCCTGCATCTAAAAAAGCTACATTGAAAGAACAACATGAGGAGGATAAAGAACAAATTAGAAAACTATTTCATGAAATAAATGTAGAAATCGTCCCAACATTCCAAAAAAGGCTAAATACGAAATAAACTGGAAAACCGGGACCAGTATTAGTGATTTTAAATGAAGATTCTGAGAGAAATCCAACTTTAGCAAAATCTAAATTATTAAGAGAAAAGCAAGATTACAAGGAGTTTTTTATTTTGCCTGATTTAACTGAAGCAGAGAGAATGGAAAACTACAAGCTTAGAAAGAAACGTGACAAAATGAATGGTGAAAGAATAAAAAACTCGCCCTTTAGATATGCATCCGTGGAAATGGAATAGTCAAATTTAAAATACAACTTAACACAACAACATAAAAAATTAGTAAGTTTGCTATCATTTGCAACATCTTTAGTAAACAAAGTTGAAGAATTTAAAATCGTATGCAGTTTTAAAAATCCTCAAATAATTGCTATTACAGACCCTGGTTTAATGAGACATCGGAAATTTATTTGGAAGAATATTTTTTGTATAAACGAAATAGGGGGATGGGTGTAGAGGAGGAGGGGTTGCATTATATATAGATAGCAACTTAATATCTTATGAGGTAAACGAAGGTATATTAAATAGAAGTAAAATTGAACAAATATGGATCATTATAGTTGCAAATGATAAAAAATATTTAATTGGTTGCGTGTACAGACCAAGCGAACAAGTAGATATGCTTGAAATGAGTCAAATATCCACAGAAGCTTGTAAATTAGTAGAAAAAAATAATTTTGCAGATTTGTTAGTTATTGGTGATTTTAATTTTCCAAATGTAAAATGGTCGAATGGATACATTAGTGATATTTTAGTAGGTGAAGATTCTGTTGAAAATGAATTTATTAATATTATATATGAATGTTTTTTGTACCAACACGTATCAATCCCAACCTTTCAAAATGCACAATATGTTACAAAAAATACCTTGGATCTTATTTTTACAAAAAACAATGAACGAGTCTATCAACTTGAGTCTAATCCAGTTCTAG